TTGTGATGCTACTACTGCGACTACGGCTACGATTGCGAGTACGATTGCTACTACGGTTGCTACTATTATGAGTAGGCTAGCATCTACTCTTTCTGTACGTATACCTGCTACTACGGCTACTACTACAACTACTAGTTGCTCTTCCCCTTCAACTATTACCATTGCTACGATTCGTATGGCTATTGCTATGATTCGTATTCTTCTTCTTCTTACTACTACTACTACTACTGCTGCTGCTACTACTACTACTACTATTACCACACGGGCTACTACTACTATTGCTACTACTGTTTTTCACCACTGCTACTACTACGGTTACTACTACCACTTTTACCATTACTACCACTACTACTACTACTACTACTGCTGCTACTACTACTGCTACTACCACTACTACTGCTACTACTACTACTACTACTACTACTACTACTACTACTACTACTACTACTACTACTACTACTACTACTACTACTACTACTACTACTACTACTACTACTACTACTACTACTACTACTACTACTACTACTACTACTACTACTACTACTACTACTACTACTACTACTACTACTACTACTACTACTACTACTACTACTACTACTACTACTACTACTACTACTACTACTACTACTACTACTACTACTACTACTACTACTACTACTACTACTACTACTACTACTACTACTACTACTACTACTACTATTCTAGTATTACTAGTGTTCTGTCTATGATTATTATTATCATCATTCTTAATATCACTAGTGCTACCAAGGCGGCTCCGCCTGAGCGAGGATGGCTTCTGGTAGCCATACTCTTTTACCATGTTTCGTGCCTCTCCAGCCCCTCCAGGGAGGCCCCGCCAGAGCGAGGAGGGTATCGGATAGCCATACTATTTAGAAGATGTCGTGCCCCTTCCACCCCTCCAGGGAGGCCTCGCCAGAGCGAGGAGGGTATTGGATATCCATACTACTTATAAGGTTTCGTGTCTCTCCCACGCCTCCAGGGAGGCCCCGCCAGGGCGAGGAGGGCATCGGAGAACCGTACTATTTTCAAGGCTTCGTGCCCCTCCCACCCCTCCAGGGAGGTCCCGTCAGAGCGAGGAGGCGATCGGACAATCATACTACGTACTTGCAAGGTCTCGTGCCCCTCCCACGCCTCCAGGGAGGTCCCGTCATAGCGAGGAGGGAATCGGAAAACCATACTACTTAAATGGTTTCGTGCCCCTCCCACCTTTGCAGGGAGGCCTCGCAAGAGCGAGGAGGGTATCGAAGAACCAGGCTATATACAAGGTTCCTTCCCGCCCCTCCAGGGAGGCCCCACCAGAGCGAGGAGGGTATCAGAGAACCATACTATTTACAAGGTTTCGTGCCCCTCCCACTCCTCCAGGGAGCCCCGCCAGAGCGAGGAGGGTATTGGAGAACTATACCATTTACACGACTTCGTGCCCCTGCCACCCCTCCAAGGATGCCCCACCTGAGCGAGGATGGTATTGAATAGTCATACTATTTGCACGGTATCGTGCCCCCCTACCCCTCCACGGAGGCCCCGTCTGAGCGAGGAGGGAATCGGATAACCATACTAGTTACAAGGTTGTGTGCCCCCCCACCCCTCCAGGGAGGCTCCCTCCGCTCGGGCCTCTCCATGGCAGTAGTTACAATATATGAACGTCATGGACCTTCCTTTTTTCCTAACTACTGTTCTGCTCCGTTGATCCCGCTAACCCCGTAACACAATTATGTGGGGATTTCCGATGGAATAATTGATATTTGAGGCTCCAATCAGGGGATGCGCCCCACGCGAGGTGTCCAGCGTTAGGGGCGTGTGTATGAGCTAATTGGATCAGCCAGTGGATGTGATCAAGACACGCATATCGCTGAAGCCCAGTGACTCTGGCCAGCATTGTGTGGCTCTGATTATTGTCAGACGCTTTGCTGCCCTCAGTGGTGGAGTGCATAGTGTGTGTTCCGTAGCGTAAACTGCTCGGTTGCTCGAGAGGGGATTTTGGCTCAGTTGCTTCTCGTGGCTGCATTGATACACTCCGTCTGAGCGTGCGTGTCCGCACTGTCACGTTGAACGAGCCAATGATTGTGATTACGACAAGCATATAACTGAAGCTGGGTGACTCTTGCTAGCAAGATGTAGACCTTTGATCTTTGAGTCTGAGGCTCCTATCTGATGTCGAGTGCGCCTCCTCCCCTGGAAGATGTCGCGAGTGCTGCAGCATCTTGTCTGTCAGAATTTGTATCCCCACTTTCTCCCAATGAGGCTGGCTGGCTCTGGCCAGTCCATAAGCGCATGGCGCGTCGCTAGGGAAGGGGGAGGGGGAGGGGGAGGGATGAGGAGGAGGGGGAGAGGGAGGGGGAGGAGGAGGGGGAAGGGGGAAGGAGGAGGAGGCGAAGGAGTAGCAGGAGGAGGAGGACGAGGAGGTGGAGGAGGAGTCGGAGGAGGACCAGTGTAAACCCAAGTTTCATCAACGATGTTGGAAGAAACCCTCCCTCGAAGCTCTGTCGGCCGCGTTGGTAGACAACCGTTCGAAGGCCCTGAAGCGTGCCAAAACACCAATGTCGGGAATCCAGCGCCACGAATCAACATGACTGTTGCGTCTTGACGATCTGGAATCGTACCAAAACACCACTCCTTGGACTTCAACACCGCGAATCAACGTATCTTTACCGCCCTCAAATCCTGACCACTGGAGTCCGTGAAACACTTGCAACCTTTTTAAACGAATGCGCGCGGTGCTAAGGAGAGAACCACATGTTGAAAACCAGCCGCCCTCCATCAGTGAAACGCTTGCAATATGTTTTAAACATGTGCGCGGCGCCAAGGCGAGAACCACATTTTGCAAGCCACCCGCCTTCCATTCGTAAAGCGCTTGCAAGTGTTGTACATGAAAGCGCGCGGCGCTAAAGCGAGAGCCACATTTTGAAAAGGAACCGCCTTGAATCCGTGAAACGCCTGCACATTTTCAAAAGAATGTGCGCGGCGCTAAGGCAAGAGTCACATTTTGAAAACCACCCGCTCTCAATCCGTGAAACTTGTAATGAATTTTGCAAACGAATGTGCGCGGCGCTCAGGCGAGAGCCACATTTTGAAAACCACCCGCTCTCAATCCGTGAAGCTCTTGCAAATTTCCAAACGAAGATGCGCGGCGCTAAGGCGAGAGTCACGTTTTGAAAATCACCCGCTCTCATTTTTTTGTTTTTTTGTTTTGTTTTTTTTGGCTTGTTATAGATTTGGCAACGAATGTGCGCGGCGCAAAGGCGAGAACCACACTTTGCAAACCACCCGCCCTCAATCCGTGAAGCTCTTGCAAACTCTTTAGGTGAGTGAGTGCGGCGCTAAGACGAGAGCCACATTTTGGAAGCGACCCGCGCTTCATCTGCGAAACCGTTGCCAGTTTCTAGGCTTCAGGCTTATAAGTGGTTAGGAAGTCTCAGGCGAAATGCCTGGCCCGCCCTTTCGACCGGCCTCGGGGAACGACAGGGAGGAGTTATTTACAAGGAAAAGGAATGGAGGATGATGATGAGAATGAGGATTAGGATGATGATGATAATGACTATGATAATGACGAAGAAGAATCTGATGCTGATGATGATGAGCATGATGGCGGTTGTGGTGATGGTGATGATGATGCTCGTGATGCCGATGCTGATAATGAGGATGACGATGGACGACGATGATTGTTATGGTGCTGATCATCATGATGATGGTGATAATGATGATGATGGTGGTGGTGGTGGTACTGATTGTGATGCTGGTGGTGGTGATGTTGATCATGATCATTATGATGGTGGTGGTGGTGATGATGCTGCCGCTGCTGATGACGATTACGATTATGATAATGGTGATGATGATGCGCCTGACGATGATGAGGATTCTGAGGGTTCTGATGATGACGACACCGACTAAGACGATGATGATGCTGATGATGATACTCATCGAAAATGGTGAAGATGATGACGGTGGTGCTGCTGATGCTGGTGATGATGATGCCGAGGAGGAGGATTACGACGACGACGATGATGATGATGCTGACGATAATGATGATGCTGCTGATGATGACGATGCTGATGATGGTGGTGGTGGTGCTGATGATGATGATGGTGGCGGTGGTGGTGATGGTGATGCTGCTGCTGCTGCTAATGGTGGTGGTGATGATGATGCTGATGATGATGCTGATAATGATGCTGCTGATGATGCTGCTGCTGATGATGATGATACTGATGATGATAATGATGATGCTGCTGCTGATGAGGATGATGATGTTGATGATGATGATGACGACGAAGACGATGATGATGATGATGGTGGTGATGATGATGATGATGATGATGATGATGATGATGATGATGATGATGATGATGATGATGATGATGATGAGGATGATGATGATGATGATGATGATGATGATGATGATGATGATGACCCATGAGGAGGAGGAGGAGGAGGAGGAGGAGGAGGAGGAGGAGAGGAGGAGCAGAAGGAGGAGGAGCAGAAGGAGGTAGAGGAGGAGGATGATGATGAGGAGGAGGAGGAGAAGGAGGAGGAGGAAAAGGAGGAGGAGGAGGAGGGAGGAGGCGGAGGCGGTGGAGGAGGAGGCGGAGGAGGCGGAGGAGGAGAGGAGGAGGAGAGAGGAGGAGGGAGGAGAGGAGGAAAAGGAGGAGGAGAGGAAGAGGAGGAGAGAGAAGGAGGAGGAGGAGGAGGAGGAGGAGGAGGAGGAGAGGAGAGGAAGAAGAGGAAGAGGAGGAGAGGAGGAGGAGGGAGAAGGAAAAGGAGGAGGAGAGGAGGAGGAGGAGGAGGAGGAGGAGAGGAGGAGGAGGAGGAGGAGGAGGAGGAGGAGGAGGAGGAGGAGGAGGAGGAGGAGGAGGAGGAGGAGGAGGAGGAGGAGGAGGGGAGGAAGAGGGAGATGAGCAGGAGGAGGCGAGGAGGAGGAGGAAGAGCAGGGAGGCGGAGGATGGAGGGAGGACCGCCGCTGCCCAAGCCGCAGCCGCCTCCGAGAGGCGTTGCAGAATCAGCTTCTGCAGTACGGCGCGAAGGATCACTTCTTGCGAGCAGGACGCGCGTTCCCAGTTCTCGCATCTGACGCTGCCAGCACAGGAGGAGGGGATGGAGGAGGAGGAGGAGGAGGAGGAGGAGGAGGAGATGACCCGTCCATCGCTAGCCCATCGCGCCCACACCCGACGACCATCTCCATGCTTTCCATAATTTCCATCGGTCGTCCCTAGCAGAATCTCCGTATCCGTCTCCATTTGCACCTCCTTTCCCGTCTCACTCTTTCTCTCTCTCTTCCTATCTGTCTTCATTCTCTGTCTTCTCGTCCCTTCTCTCTCTCCCTCCCTCCCGTCCTGTTCTGTGCCCATTCTATCTGAACTCACATCCTGGCCCTCCCCTCACATGCCCTCCTGCTCATCTCACAGCTCCATCCTCCCCGCCCGTGGGAGACCCCGGTGCTCCCTGGACCGCGACCCGTCTCTGCCGCGCCGCGGAGGCATTCTGCACCTCTGCGGCGGGGACAGCGTCACGGTCAACCTCGCGGTGGAGAGATACAGGCCCGGGCTGGGCGGGGACCGCTGGCAGCATCGGGCCGCACCTCCTCCTCGCAGGCAGGGCGTGCCGGCCCGGGCCAGGCTCGAGAGGCGGGCGGGCGAGCGGCCACAGCCCAGGCACGCGCCGAGCACCGGCAGTTAGTGCCAGAGCTCCGTGCGTGCAGCTCGCAGCGTGCTGCCGGCACGGCCCCCGTGGGGCCTCCGAGGCACAGGGCTGGCGGAGGTGGGGCAGCGCTGCTGCCCTCCCGCACGTCCCGCCTGCGCGGAAAGCCGTGCACGTAACACAGGGGGCCGGCCTGCAGGGTTTTCCAAGCTTAGGGTCGTTGATGTCATTATGATGGCTGTTGGATTACCTGTTGTGCCGGGACCTGAGTTCAGAACGGTCTTCACGACGTGAAGACCGTTCTGAACGCAGTGTCGGCGCGTGGGCGTTTTTGCGGCGCCCGCTGCATTTTCGCTCGGTTCCGGAAGATTTCACGCGGGCTTCAGATTTCGCGCAGCCCACATGTGGGCTGCGAGAAATTCCCCAGTGGTGCATAAGCGTTCTTGGTTCTCTTCCCGGCGCCTTAACCCTTCACGTGATGCTCGAGGTCTGGCGGGCACGATTCCCGGTCACGACCCGGCATAAGGGGCAGGCTGCCAGGTGCGCCCAGGGGGCCCGCCGGGCCCGCGGGCTCGGAGCCTCCCGGGGGCGCCGGGTGGGGGGCTTCGAGGTGTCTGCGGGGCGTCTGCGGGGCCGTGGGGGGCATGGCTTCTTGACTCAAGTAGGCTCGCAGCAACAATCAGCTTGAGCGGTGTGGGCCTACGGTGGGTTAGGGGCAGGCACTTGCCCTGACCGCATAGCCAAAGCTGGCTTCCGCTCCCGATCTGACAAACGATCAGGGGGAGGTATTGGCGTCAGAAAGGCTGGAGGATAGGGGTGGACAGACAAGGGGGGCATGGAGGGGAGTGGGGAAGTGACGAGGGGAGAGGGGAGGGGGGGGGAGAGAAGCACTGCATATCATAGCATTGCAGCTGAAGGGATGGCATTGCACAGCGGAACACACCATAGCATTGCCTTGTATTCCATGGCATGGCGCTGGAATTGAGGCCAGTGGTTCAGCGGGAATACGATTCGGAGCGGACGGAAGCGTGGAAATGAGGTCAGAGCTGCAGCGGGAGCACGATTCGGAACGAGCGGAAGCGCGGAACTGAGGTCAGCGCTGCAGCGGGAGCACGATTCGGAACGAGCGGAAGCCCGAAAATGGGGCCAGCGATGCAGCGGGAGCAACAATTGGAAAGACCGAAAATAAGCGGATTGTCAATCACACACATATAACAACCAAACTCCCGGCAATCCTGTGTGTAAAGAAACAGTACGCGGAGGGGTGCCGGGAGGGGGGGAGACAAGCCAGGTGCGCTCGCGTCGTGTTGTGACGTCGTACCCCTCCCTCTCATGCCTTGCCATTGCGCAGAGGTCCCTCTCTATTCGCACAGTTGGATGTCGAAAAGGTCAAGGACCCCCCAAGGGTACGCGATGCATAGCATGGCAGGTCATGACGTAGCAGTGCAGCGCAAGGCAGGGCATCGCATAGCGGTGCGACACATAACATTGCATGGCATGCCATTGCATGGCGTGCCATTGTGTAGCCCAGCGTTGCAGATCACAGCATTTTGCAGCAAAGCGTGGAATCGGATAGTAACGATACATTAGAATTGCGTACCATGTCTGCATGAACGGTGCAGCTGGAGAAGCATGCTGGAGTACCGACAATTTCGAGGTGATGCTGGCGCTGCAGTGGGAACACCATTCGGAAGGATCGAGAAATCAGAAATGAGGCCAGCGCTGCAGCGGGAGCACTATCTGGAAGGACCGGCAAGGACCGAAACCGCGAAAATGAGACCGGCATTGCAGTGGGAACGCGATTTTAAAATGAACCAGAAGCGCGGAAGTGAGGCCAGCGTTGCAGCGGTAACACCATTTGAAAGGCCCGAGAACGATCGGATTGGAAACACATTTCAGGAACACGAGATTGTTCAAACCCTTTCTGTGAAAAACAATAGGCGGAGAGGGAGGACATCTTCTGGACAGTCGGGGGAGAGAGGAGACTTGTGTTCATAATGTATAATTGTATGGGCGAGGGAGGAGGTTGGAGGGTGAATGGGGACCAAGACGCTATGGTCCAACGGGTTCGAGCTCGCAAGAGGCTGGACGGGGCGCGGGCATGATGTTGGGGAGTTCTTGCGACCGTTTCTTCAATGGTTGTCCCTCTCTTGGGGCCTCCTGGAGCATATTTTTTGGGGGGGTGTACGCCCCCTCCCCTCCGTCCCGTGCAGGGGGGAGGGGGGAATCGGGAGGCTCCCCCCCTTCACCTCCTCCTCCATTTGCTTTCCTGATAGAGAACTCCTCCCTGTCGCACCCCGAGACGTGTCGGTAGGGCGGGCCCGGCGTTTCGCCTGAGAGTTCCTCACCATTCATGATTCTGAAGCTTACAAGTTTGCAAGGGTTTCATGGATTGAGGGTGGGTGGTTTTCCAAATGTAGCTCTCGCTTCCGCGCCGCGGACATCGTTTTGAAACGTTGCAAGCGTTTCACGGATGGAGCGCAGGTGGTTTCCAAAAGTGGTTCTCGCCTTAGCGTTGCGTGCATTCGTTTTAACAGTTTGCAAGAGCTTCACGGATGGTGGGCGGGTGGTTTTCAAACGTGGTTCTCGCTTTAGCGCCGCGCAGATTTGTCTTGAAAGTTTGCAAGCTCGAATTGAAGGCGGTTTGTTTTCAACATGTGGTTCTCGCCTTGGCAGCGCGCGTGCACATTCGTTTTGAAAACTTTCAAGAGCTTCACGGATGGAGGGCTGGTGGTTTTCCAAGTGTGGCTCTCGCCTTAGCGTTTCGCGCATGCGTTTTGAAATTTTGCAAGAGCTTCACGGACGGGACGCGGCTGTTTTTCGTAATGTTGGTTTCGCCTTACCACCGCGCTTGTTCGTTGAATTAGAACGTTGCGCGAGTTCTGCGGATCGGGTGCGGGTGGTTTTCAACATGTGGCTCTAAATTTGACGGCGCGCACATTTGGATGGCGGGTGGTTTTCAAAATGTGGCTCTCGCCTCAGCGCCGTGCACGGATGGAGGGCGAGCGGGTTTCAAACATGTGGTTCTCGCTTCAGCGCCGCGCATATTCGGTTTGAGTGTGGATGTAATGTCGCCTTCAGCGCTGCGCACATCTGTCTTCGAAGCTCAGCAGGAGTTTGACGGGTGGAGGTCGGGTGGTTTTTAAGTGTGGCTCTCGTTTTGGCGCCGCGCGCATTCGTTTCTATGAGTTTCCAAGCGTTTCGCTGATGGAGGGTGGATATATTTCAAAATGCGTATTTCGCCTTAGCGCAGCGCGCGCTCGATTTGCAAGTTTGTGGAAGCTTCACGGATGGACGGTGGGCGGTTTTCAACATGTGGTTCTCGCCTCCGCGCCGCGTACATTCGTTTTGAAACGTTGCAAGCGTTTCACGGATGGAGGGCAGGTGGTTTCCAAAAGACGTTCTCGCCTTAACGTTGCGCGCGTTCGTTTTAACAGTTTGCAAGAGTTTCACGGATGGTGGGCGGGTGGTGTTCAAAATGTGGTTCTCGCCTGAGCGCCGCTCAGATTCGTTTAGAACATTTGTGGCTTTGGAGGTGGTTTGGAGGTGGTTTGTTTTCAAATTGGAGGTGGTTTGTTTTCAAATTGTGGCTCTCGTCTTGTCGCCGCACACATTCGTTTTGAAAGTTTGCAAGAGTTTCAGTAATGGAGGGCGGGTGGTTCTGAAAATCTGGCTCTCGCCTTAGCGCCGCGCGCATTCGTTTTGAGAGATTGCAGCAGTTCAGCGGTTTTGAAAAGATCGTCCCGGACGTGATGTTCAGGCACGATTTTGGATTGTCAGGGCGCTACAGTGGCGTTGATTCACGGTGTTGAAGTCCTATGAACGATGTCCTGGTGCGATGCTGGATCGTCAGGACGCAAGACTAAAGTTGGGTTGCGACGTTGACGTCCAAGGAACGTTTTTTTGCACGAATTAAGGTCCTCAGACGGTTGTCTTCGAGCGGGGCATTTCCAAATATTTGTAGGGGCCTATGAAGAGAGAATTTGGAGGGAGGGTTTATTGCTACATCGCTGACGCGCACTGGGTTTGCAGTGGTCCTCCTCCTCCTCGTCTTTCTCCTCCTCCTCTTCCTCCTTTTTACGTTAGAACAACCTAAGCATCAAGCTGTGGCGTTTGGGAAAATAATAGACGTGAGCACGATTCAAAACTAAATGTAACTGGCGGGCGCCGCAGAACAAGCTGGAAGAAGAGGCATCGACAAGAGTAGCAAAAGGAGTAGGCGCCCGCCGGGTACTAGAGGTCGGCGCAGACCTTAGTAAGATGCCCCCCCCGCCCCCACATCCAAAAAATAATAGACCCCATAAGGTTCAGTGGTCAGTGCCGCATCCGTCAAGAGTATAATGCAGGCTACGGTTGGCAGCGCGCCAGAAACGTGAAACTAAAGAGGTGAGTGCAAGCATGGCGGCAATTCTTGGGCTGCTACCCGGGTTTTTAGGGTTTACCCTCAACCACCTGGACCTGGGGCCGCGTGCTTTTTGCCGGTTCTTTTCGGGTTTAGCATGAAACCTTCGCGACTGCTGACTGTAGGCTGGCCCTGTGGGCTGGTTTGTAGGCTGGCCCTGTAGGCTGGCGCTGTATGTTGGCCCTGTGGGCTGACAAGGTACTGCTCGTGCGTACTCCTCCCCCAAGATGTGTATCCTCCACCTCCTCCACCTCCTCCGCAAAACCTAGGGTACCATGACCGGCGGCAGAAAGAACGGGCCTCCCATGCACGTAAATCAATGAGAGATTCCGACTCTGGAGCGGAGCAGAGAGGTAGGTGGAGCGGATTTGGAGCGGAGCATGAAAAAGGGAGGTGGAGCGGACCGAAGATCGGGGCTATTTCCAGTCTCTACTCGTCTCGGGCGCTGCTGCGTTTTGTCATACACCGCAACATCAATGTGATGATAAGATATTGCTCGTGGGTACTCCCCCCCATCCTCCTCCATCCTCCACGCCCAACCCCATCCCCCCCCCCACAAGCTATTAGTGAAGAGAGGACGATCGGTGATACAATGGCACAGGGCCAAATCGGTACAGGGACAGAGAGAGCGTCTTGCCAGGCCCTTCAGCAAGCAGCAACGACCCAGGAGAAGGAAGGGGCAGCAGGCGCAGTGCCAAGCCAGAGCCACGGCGAGGCACGCGCGCCTGGTATCCGCAAGCGGAAGCCAGGCCCCACGTACCCCCCCATGCCATCGGCAGGGAACAACACCTGAGGGGAGAGGAGACGCCGATGGCCCAGCGGAGCGGGGAAGGCGAGAGGAGCGGGGAGGGACAGACGACGGCAGGAGGGGCCAGGACAGGGCAAGTGATGGGCAGGCCACGGTGAAAAGATAACCGGCGCCACCTCGTTGTATCAAATGGAGGTCGAGAACATGATCACCCTGGAGCGGAGCAAACATTGAGTTGGAGCGGACCGAGGATCGGGGCTACTTCCAGCCTCTACTCGTCTCGGGCGCTGCTGCGTTTTGTCATATTTCGCGACAAGAAGGTGATGACAAGATGCTGCTCGTGAGCACTCCACCTGCTCCATCTGATCCTTCTCCATAACCTCCCGCCCCCGACGGCCCCTCCTCCACTCCCTGACGCGCCAATGCGCACCAGGGCTGGTAGAGAAGACACTCGTGCGCGCCACGCATGTGAACGAGGATCCCTGACGCGCCAAATGCGCACTGGGGTTGGTCGAGAAGACACTGTGCGCGCCACGCATGTGATCGATGAGGAACGAGGAGAGTACAATAAAGGAGGCGGAGAGACAATAAAGGGAGACGACGATGAGATGTGGAATGCGAAGCGTCCAGAACTTTCAACTCTGCGTCGAGGCATAATACTTGTTGCGCTCGGTGCAATGGTGAAGTGTTGCATGCATAGAGCCTGCATCGAAGTGAATCCCTTTATAACCACCCACGGTTGGCGAGATAGTAGTTTCCGCAGAGACCGTCTTTTGCAGGCTTTCCCACCCGTTCTATCAACTGAATCAAATACAGAACTTTGGATTCTGGACTGTCTGAAAGCTTGCTGACGCTGCTGTCGCTGTGTCTTGAGACTCGTGCTGAATTGGCGTTAGAACACGAAGGAACTGAATCTTTGGGAGCATTACCTTTTGGAGTGTCAGGGCACTGTTCGGGCTGTCGACCAGTAGTTCTCCTACTCTTGCAATCATACCAATGAATTCCCTCAACAATTTCACCCGAAGTGCCAACAGGCATCCAACCGAACGTGAGTGGAAACAGTACATCTGTCCCGGGTGTCCCTCCACGTGGCCTTTTTATGTTTGGTAATTGGTGGCGATGGCGAAACAGCTCGGACCAACGGGGACGGTGAAATATGTGCGCTGCTGGAAGAGACCTCGTTAATTTATGCATCTTGACCAGCCACAAACTCTCCACGCCCCTGCTCTTTCACCGCGAGCGCCGTCGCGATGCTGCTGGCCAAAGGTATGTGCACTGCCAGAAGGAGCCACGCGATGCTGTACACAGGTATGCGTACTGCCAGAAGAGACTATGCCATGTGTTTTGCCAGAAGAAACCACGTTGACGGCTGTATATGATGTATCTGTTTGTGTGCTGTCATGTCCAACAAGATCGGCGCCGACGACAACTGTGCTGTCTGATGCTGCTGTCTGGTCATCCGCCGAATGTGATGGCGGTGATCGGGCTTCTGGTACTCGTGGGACGAGAGGCGGAGGAAATGGCGGCGGGGTGAGCCACTTCACGATGACTGGGAGAAGTGCGAATGGTGGTGAGCTCGGCACATACTGCGGCGGAGCTTGGCTTACAAACTTCGGCGTACTTGTCAAGCCCGACACTGTTGCATGTAGAATTACCGTTGTTTGTTCTGCTCGTCGCGACGGGTCGCTTGTTCAAGGAGCA